GTAGACTTGTCCGTGGTCTCTAGGCTGACCAGCCTGTTGAATTTTTCTTCCAGTGTCGTAAATGTCGCAGCCTCAGACAACACCTTGCTTTGATGCTCCAGGCTTGCCAGCCCAGCCACCATTTGTCCTGCTACCATATCGTTGGAGTAGCTGACTTTCCGACCGCATCCTATCCCGTTCGGACAAGTCACTGAAAAGTCGCAGAAATTCGCGACTGATCAAGTCGTGCCATGAAGTCCGTAATCGATTCCCCTCCTTCTGCCTTACGGTTGGAATTCTTGCCGGTACACTTCTTTTTGTGTAGGCTTCTGACGGCTCTGAGCTTTATGTGCCGTAACAGCTGTTCCTCCGTGGACGGAGTTTAGTACTTCTGCTCCTACCATATCGAACAACAGCCTGTTCACTTCTGGGGCACAGGCCATTCTCAGCTCGTTTCTTAACGCTGTTGGCTCGGCCAACCCCACATCTCCTTGTATCTATTCCAGGAGTCAATGAATATCGCCCAGTCACCATCACTTGAGTCCGGTTCTATATTAGGTCTGTCGGGTCTCCTTGTAAGTGACTTTCTCGGCTGTCCTCCGTCTCTTCGCAGGGCGATGATCTCTTGCTGTAGCTCGATGAGCTGTCGAAGTAATGTCTGCTGTGTTTGTTCGTCCATATTCCAACGTTGTTTGTAGCAGGTTTCCTATATCGGCGACGCCATGTAAGGTAGCAGCGAGACGACGTGTATCTGCCAAGCCACTCGTTGCCGTGAATGTCTTGTTTAAGTAGCCCACTCTCGCCTCTCATGTAAGCGGGCGAGTCTACTTCTATGGGGGTGTGACGCCAAGACCATTCCGGTCTTGTAACTGGGCGTCTTAGGTTCGATTCCACCTCTACAGCTGACATTAGTTTGCTGTACTACTGCCAACATGAATGACAACTGACAACACTGTCAATACAATTGCTACTAATATTTACTATTGTAAAATATACTAAAAAATCAAATCTATTTATTTAAAATTATTTAAACCAGTAATTAGAAAATTTATTAGCTGTACTGACTTTACTTACATGAAAATATCTGAAAAAAAAGAAACTGATTTCTTCTTACTGAGAAAATTGGGAAATGGATAAAAATAAGTTATGGGATGAAGATGGATAAAAAATTCAGATTAAATTTTAGAAAATAGTGCATTTATTAATACTTTTCATAATTCAATTACAAAAATAAGTCAAATTTTTAAATGCCTTACCTAAATCTGATTAAAAAAAGTTTTAAAAATATGAAAATTTGTAGTGAATCTAATGAGAAAATCAAAAGTAATAATCTATGAAAAATGATACATTTTGAACAATTGATTTCCTTGGCTCAGTTAATGCAAATGGAAGATCAAAGAGTCTAAACTGAAGTCACAAGGTTCCCACAGATCACTGTAAAAGAAATTCCAGGACTGTGTTAAGAAGTTTGAAAGACTAAAACTGATGCGCATGTTACACACACACAAAGTGGATGTTCCACAATTTCAAAAACACAAACTATGTGATTTATCTTTTAATAGTTAGAAAGATGAGATGTTCAAAGAAAAGTTAAGTTGGTTCTAATAATTTATGTCACATGGATCAGTTGAATGCAGTGAAGAAATCCAAGTGTTGAAGTCTAAAACACAACTGATTGCAGACCTGATTATGTTACACATTTCATGTAGCATCCTACACAGTTTGGAGTTCTACTACACTTGAAAATTTTGAATTATACACTTTAATTATTACTGCTACACATTTCAGCTATCTAGACTACTTATGGTTTGTGAAGGTCACAAAAAAGTTCTTGACTGCTGCATATTTCCTGTGAAATTAAGTATAATGAACAGAATTACAAATAGCAATTTTCATAAAATGACTACACATTTTAGCTACCCCTACTACTCATGGCTTTTGTTGCGCATGGCACAGAACACAATGATGTTTAGACTGTCTTCTGTGGCAACTTTTTCACAAATGGATCCAGGGTTCAGCCATTCAAGTGACCTTACAAGAGGTTAACTAATAGGAGACTTTGCCAAAGTTTCTCAATGATAGTGATGAACATTGTCTTTGTTGTAATTCTGCATGCAAACAGATCTTTTGTTGACATTCCCTTTTTTGGATAAATTTTGCATAGTCCTATCTGCCAGAAATCCACACTCAATCTTTGCAGAATCTTTATACATATAAAAGGTGTTTATAAAGGTGTTTGACAAAATTCTTACAAATTCATTCAGTTTGGAAAATGTAATTATCTTTTTAGAGTGCTCTTCCTTTACAAATCAGTTTCATGATAATGCTAAAAAGATCATCTACAAAGAAAGGAAACAATTTTTTATCACTATTTTATCAGAAATTGCTCAATTTCTTTTGAAATAGACACAAAAAATCTGCAGTTTGACTGAAAATAAAACCTTGTTCACTTTTGACAACACCACAGAGAAGGACTTGATCTGGGTACATTTTCTGTATTTTTTTTTTTTTTTTAATTTTGATGATATCTAGCCAAATGTCTAGCAGTCATTCACATGTTTGTACATTTTCTGGCCATCTATGGCAGAAATACAAAAGTAAAAAAAGGACAGGGTTGTCAGATTCCACTTTTATAAAGCCAATCAATAAAAGCCAAATAAGTTTTAATATTTCATCATTTTTTTCACACTTACAATAAAAGCTAAAGATACAGGTCGCTATTACCCTGTTAACTTTAAAATAACATTCTTCTTATTTTTTTCAGAGATGCATTTTCTATCCTATCCTATGATATATCAAAAGTACATTTTCTATCATCCTTCCCGTCTTGAGTTAAATTCGATTCTCAAACTTGTTACTTTTGGCAACAATTTAGACACATAGTTTACACATAGGTACACATTGACATGGGGCACATAAAGTATCTACTTTTCCACCACTGACTAGAGATCAAAAGTAGATTTTACTTTTGAAATTGACATGTGAGTGAAATTCCTTCAATTGTTCAAATTTTGAAAAACACTGATAAATTTTTTGAGTGTCTACTAAACTGTATTTTACAACTGTAAAATAATTATTTTCCGTTCAACTACAAATTCAATGAGTGTGAATTAATTTATCTTTGACAGCGATGTTTACTTGTCTCTTATGTCTTTTATCTTTGCTTTTCCTCTTTTCTTGTTGAGTAAGGGTAGCAGCGAGAAGATACACCTTCATATTCTTCCTCCCTTTCTTTCTCATCTCCTAGACAAGAAAATACAGAAGTAACTTAGAGGTTATGAACTCTTTCTAATCAAGGAAACAATTCGCAATAATTGCCAAATATTACTGATGACTAAAACTAACATTTTTCTTAAAGGACAATTTTAGCTTGTAAAAAAAGCCAAATTTCTAGGATTTGGCATTTTGACTTTCATGAAATGAGAAAAGGGATGTGTGGGCAGCCCAGTTTAGAAATTCCAGGACTTTTCAAGGATTTTTTGGGCTATTGCTGTTTTTCCAGAACTCTCCAGGCTCTGGAAAAGGCTTTGTCAATTTTCCAGGACTTTCCAAGGTTTCCAGGGCTTGTATGAACCCTGGAAGTAGTTCAGACACTTTGATCTTCTATTTAAATAAAGAAAGAAATATAGACCAAACTTCATATTCCCTAATACTGATGATGGAATAAATTTTGAAAAACCTTTGAAGGTAAACATTACATTCTATCAACACTTTTAATGAATAAATCAAGGGCACATCTTTAAATCCAAGAAATACATTGTATTCATCAAGTCAGAATGGTCATCAAGTAGTAGATACCTCCATTGCCTTTTTTTTTAAATATTTAAATGTATCAAAATAATTCAAATATTTACTTCTTTAAAATTTTAATTTTGGTTTGAATTGCAAGAAAATAGAATAAAAATAAAACAAAATGAAAAAAATATTTTATTTTAAAATGTTTTTGTTCTGTCATATGCCATAAAAAATTACTTGGTGAAAGTTGACTTAAATCTGTGATGGTCTCATGGGGTAACTGAAGTACAAGTAACCAAAAATGACTACTTTTTTGATTGTACAAGTTCATATGCTAAAAAGTAACAAAACATATTTTATACATGCAAATTGTACTGTATAATTATGCTTTACATATATCTCGCTTGTCCAGCAATATTCTGATTTAAAAGGTATAATCATGTGATATAAGCTTATAAATTTGAAGTGCTTTTATTGACATGTCACTTTTTTGTCAAAATTGTATGTAGTATCATTAAATATTTTCAAACCACAGAAAAACATGTTACTTTAGATTAAACCAATTTATTATATTTTATGATGTCAATATAAATTCAAATTATTGTTTTAAAAAATACTTCCCTTTAATATTTTCCCCATAAATTTAGGTTGACATTCGAAAAAAACAAAAAAAAAAACTTTGCTAACTCCAAGGGGAATAACTTCCATTACTGAATCCAAGGGGAAGGACTTCTTTTTGCAAAGTAAAAGGATTTAATTCAAAGGAAAGAAATGGAAAGGCTCAACATCAAATTTCTGGGAGTATGTGAAAGTAGATGGATAAAGTACTGGCCAAGAACAACAAAATAAAATAGTAGAAGCAGTTAGTATTATCAGCTTTAGTTAATTGCAAGATCACTAAGATTACCAAAATAATAAATAAAATTTATGATAACAATGAAATAACAGAATACCTCAGGAGATCTATCTTTATAGTGATACCAAAGAAGCCAGATGCAAAGCATTATAAACAATTCCCTAGAAACACCTGATTCAAAACTGTTCATTTTCAAAAACTATAATTGTTGTAATGCTAAATTTCTAATAGTACATTAGTCTTAAATTGTTAATTATGTGCTTATATTTGGATTTAGATTATATGAATATGATTGAATGAGTATACAGTTTATATTGGTGTAAGAGGCTCAGTTTGGAGATATAACAAATGGCAAAATTTCCAATTCCAATGACATAAAAATTAAATAAAAGGAAATTTAAAAAAAAAAAAGAGAGAAAATAGATTTTACCTGGTGGTACAAGTTATGGCATTCTTGGCATTCAATTAATTGGTTTCCAGAAGTCACTTCAAATTGTCTGCAATGTATGCAAGAATTAATGACACTAAATTTAAAAACAAATAATACACAATATACGAATAACAAAATAAGAGAACAATGAAAAAGAAAAACACATTTAACCGTTTTAGGCATCCTTTTTTTAGTTAAGAATCTTGATTATATTAAAAGGCTAGTAGAAACGTTTGCAGTCAAAGTGATAATAAATATATTATTAATCTTTTACTTTCATCTTAATTTTTACTTGATTTTCATTGCATCTTTACTCAGAATTAGTAGCTGACAGCATTGGCAGAAAATAAAAAATAAGTTTTTGGCGAGCTCCATCTCATGTCACTTTTACCTCGGGGACTCTTTTAAACACTGTTGCTTTCCTGCTAAGGTACAAGAAGTTGACAACTTTATAAAAGACTAAATGTAACCTATATTTCATCATTCCATTTTATAATCACTCTCAGTGTCATATGTGCTTTTGTTTTTTACTGACCAGTAGCTTGGCAGCTGATCTCTTGTCTGATCTTGCTCTAACAGTTCAGTGGGGAAGAAAACTATATTGTCCCATTCAATGACTCTAAAGCCAACTAGTAACATTTCATCGTAATTGATTGGATCCAGAACATTCACCAATCACAATGAATGAATGTTCCCTAAGGGAAGCTCTGTGCCTTGAGCACCTATTGGGACCTAAACTCAATCTAGACCTCAAATGGAACTCATATGATTGATCACTAAAGATGCTAGTAAGATGGTCGGTTCCCTTCAGTAAGTACCTGACTCTTCTTACTATCCTCTACATTTATAAGAGCCAGATCAGGCTAAAAATGCCCAGTTTTCAATTTTCTGTATTGATAAGAGTTCAAAAGTATCTTTGTGGGTAGCAAATTATCTTCTACCCTAAAACTCATTCCTCACAGATGAAATGTTGCAAACTTCTTGTTGCTTTATCATTATTTCCATGGAAAGTGTTCAAATGAACTACATCCCTTAGTTCTACCAGCTCTACTATCACAGCTAAGATCTGCCATGTCACTCACATTGTAGTGGATCACCCTCATTCCCTTTGTATTCCATTGGTGAGATGTATGCTCCACTTGGACAGCTTCTTCTCATGAATGGCTACTTTATGGACTTCCAAGCAGATGCTTCTCCGATCACTACAATCTTAACCTGTTTAAGTCTAGTTTAATATCTGCATAAACTGTGCATTTTACTCTGTAACCCTCTATCTTGAGAGGCATGGTGACCTTGTACAGGATGAACATCATTGTAAAAAAAACAGGAAAAAAAAGTAGCATCAATAGCCACTCAGTCGAACTTGTAGATTCTCTATGCAGTGTTGCTGTTGTAACTACAGTAACAAGCAGGTTTTACAGGCTGGAGTTGCTAGCTCCACACCCAACAAGTTTTAAATGTTCTCCTATAGTGGTTACCAACTAAAGCTAAAGAGCCCATTCCTGCGTACTATTTAACCCATACCTGGGGAGAGGAGAAGAGATGAATTCCTATCTTTCCTAAGGGGATATGTGCAAATGTTGAACTCAACTTGTATAGCATAGCAGTTATTGGCATAGTAAGTGAGAGCGGTATTATTTCTTCTTCATATGCAGTGCTCTCTGCCATTTTTATTAATTTTTTACTAGTATTTATTTTCATCTTCATTTTTATTCAATAAAGCATTGTCAACCAATTTTTGATGAATATTAACTTTCATCTTCATTTTTAATTACTTTTTATTGTAACTTTACTCAGGCCATCAATTCTACAGCAATGAGTAGACAGCAAAGATAAAAAATAAGCTCTCAACTACAATAAAAAAGCAACTAAAGGATGAAAGTAAATACTAATAAAAGATTAATATTACTGATTGACAATACAAAGTAAAATGGAGAATAAATTTGTTAGTTGCTAGCAACAAAAATCTCAAAAAAGTATTTTTAGTATTATTTTCTAAAACTCTAAAAAAAATTGGTGTCAACTCCAAGCAGAAAAGATAAGTTAGAAAATAGCAAATGATAAAATATACTGATAGCTGCTTTTAGCATTCAACCCACCCAATACTAGAAAGAGCGATAAGTGTTAGTGAACTTAAGAAACCTATTTTCCTGAATAACTGTTTGGAGAGAAACTGACAGTAATTACATTATTGCCAGTTGAAATGTATAAAGTCTTTTACAGGAAAATAGGCTTTTCAAGTCCACTAACTCTTATTGCTCTTTCTAGTAGTGATGGGAGTTTCCTTCCTATCCTTTTGTTTAGGATAGCATAGAAAGTCAACATGTAGATTATATCATTATTTTCCCCTTCTAGTTACATGTGCTATCCATTTTCGTTGTTGCCGCTGTTGGAAGTCATCAAGGGACGTGTTCTTTTTTTGTTATTTTGTAATGTTCTGTCTGTTGTGAATGTTCAGAAACAAAATCAAAGATAAATGTTGGCTGACAAAAGAGTCTTACCTTCACATATGAGAAACAAGGAGATTTTAAATAAAGCTGGTTGGTTTTTTGTGACATGTCAACATCTGTCGTGCTATCTAATACTGAATTTTGTATAGAGACACCCGGTAAGGATTAAACTTACAACTCAGTAGTAATGTTCAACCAGACTAGCCTCACTAATCATTTTACCTTAGGAAGATTTTAGTAAATTTTTTGCAACAAAGTGCATCCTACATATTATCAAATAAGATAATATTACAACAGCAATTAGATAAATGCTATCTCTTGCTAAAAAGCTTCACTAAAAAGCTTTCATTTTCTCTTTTACCTAGGAAAGTTGTTAGCCGAAGATAGAAATAGAACCTTATGCTTTATACTTCAAAGTTCTTCTAATCTATACCCTACAACAATGAAGCCTTGGATTTAAAGTCAAAAAACACTAAAGCAAATACTATATGACTAGTGAGATACATTACTGCACAAATTCTTAAAAGAAAAGTTTTGACTTCTAACTGATCCTTCTCTCTTGAGATCAATTCTTATAAACTATATAATAGTCAACTAATACTCACTGGCAAACATTACAAGCAATGCCAAGATCCACTGCAAAACCATCTGTGTCCATGTTGTCATCACTTGAATCTTGGCTTTCTCGCTCTTTGGTGGCTGATTTTTCAGTAGTTGCAGCAGCTGCAGCAGATTTTTCAGAAGCAGCTGCTTTCTCTGCTGCCATTTTCTCTTTGCGTTCTTTCTCTTCTTTCTCTTTCAACTCACGCTCCTTCTTCAATTTTTCCTTCTCCTTTTCTTTCTCAGCCTCTCGCTCTTTCTCTTTACTCAACTTCTCTTCTTTTTCCAATGTAGAAAAGATGTCAAGTCTTGCTTTCTTTGGTTCTGAGGGAATGTCACTGAGATCATGTTTTACCTGGAAAAGGAAAATAAACAAATAGAGAAAACACACATGTGACAATTAAAAAAAAAATAGATAAATTTTAAAAAGTAAAAATAATCCTATCTTACAAAAGAGAAAAACAGGAATTGAAAAAGCTTTTATCAGCTGACACCAATCCCAGAATTCCAAAACAAAGTTCTCTTTTGGCCACATGCCTTTGCTTTGGTTGGACATCAGTATATGGCTCTGTGAATCCATGAACCTGGACATGAAGTCAAGATGGAAAAAATGAGTATAGATTCTTACTATACCTTCACCTAAATCACACCATCTATCTCCCGTTATTGCAAACAACCAAAGGAAAAACCCTGACTTTGCCCAGGGTACCTACAGATTTGTGTAAAAAAAAATTTCAGGACTTTAACAGGACTATGTTAGAAGTTTCAAAGACTGAAACTGGAGCACACACACATACACACACACAAAGTGAATGTTCCACAATTTCAAAAACACAAACTTTGTGATTAATCTTTTGATAGTTTGAAAGATGAGGTGTTCAAAGTAAAGCTGGTTCTAATAATTCATGTCACATGGATCAGTTGAAAAAAGTGAAGAAATCCAAGTGTTGAAGGCGAACACACAACTGATTGCAGACCTGATTATGTTACACATTTCATGTAGCATCCTACACAGTTTGGAGTTCTACTACACTTGAAAATTTTGAATTACACACTTTAATTATTACTGCTACACATTTCAGCTATCTAGACTACTTATGGTTTGTGAAGGTCACAAAAAAGTTCTTGACTGCTGCATATTTCCTGTGAAGTTAAGTATAATGGTTTTAATGAACAGAATTACAAATAGCAATTTTCATAAAATGGTTACACATTTTAGCTACCCCTACTACTTTTGTTGCACATGGCACAGAACACAATGATGTTAACATTTTTTTCAGTTAATCTAGCTTAGCATTTAGCTCCTCTTCCAATTTTAATATCTCTATCGATTTGTCCTTTGTAGATCTTCAAATGGCATTGAACTTTGCAATAAGTGTGAAGTTCAGCGTCAGCTCAGCTTTATCCACATAGCTGTCAGCTGACTTGAGCAAATCTTATGTGCAACTATCAAGCTTGTGATTTTTGGTCTTTAGTTCTTTAATTTTCATAAGCACAGATCTCCATTTTTGTCCAACTTCTTCTTCCTGCCATTTTTTCTTCTCAGCCTCAAGGTATTGGTTTTATCCTGTTCTAGCATTGGAAGCACTGCAGAGAAGAGCCTTAGTCATGGGAACATTCCCAGCACATCCAACTGTGGACAAATAGTTCATGATAATGCACTGTGTGACCAGAGTCTGCCGTTTCATAGTCAGTGGAAATTTCCTTATTGACTGACAAACATCTCTCCATGAGGCCTGTCCATGAGAGAGTACTAGCATTCTGCAAACAAATGTCCAGTTTTTGATATTCTTTGTTGCTAGATAAAGAAGTATAGAACAAAATATCCTTTTAAAATTGACATGTGAATAAAATTTATTCCATCGTTCAAATTTTAAAAAATGCTGATAAATTTTTCAAGATTCTATGTATTTTATTAGTGTAAAATAATTCATTATTTTCTTTTCAACTACAAATTCAATGAGTGTGAATTAATTAATCTTTGATAGAGATGTTTACTTGTCTCTAATGCTTATTATCTTTGTGTGAAGGTAGCAACTAGTAGACATGCCTTCATATTCTTTCTCTCTTTTTTTCCTGTCATCTCAATGAAAAAATACTGAAGTAACTACAAACTCGTTCTAATCAAGGAAACAAAACCACTATTCACAATAATTGCCAAAAATTACTGATGACTAAAACAAACATTTTTCTTACAGTACAATTTTAGCTTGTAAAAAAAGTCAAATTTCTGGGATTTGGAATTTGACTTTTATGAATTGAGAAAAGGGATATGTGTGCAGCCCAATTTAGAAATTCCAGGACTTTTCAAGGAGCGTTTGGGCTATCACTGTTTTTCCAGGACTTTTCAAACCCTAGAAAAGGCCCTGTCAATTTTCCAGGGCTTTTCAAGGCTTCCAGGACCTATCGAATCCTGTTTACCTTTTTGTAAATTCCCACTGTAATGAAGAAGTAAAGACTCTTACCATCTCTTCACATAAACCACAAGACTTTTGTAAAAAAAAAAAGAGAACCAATTGTTATGAACACCTTGAAAATATGACATTTATCATTCTACAAATGCACTGAGAAAATTTGTACACATTTAACTCACCATTATTCATTTGAATAAATATTGCTTGTTAATTTATGTTCTATCCAGCTTTTGTCTATCCATTGATGCTGTTTTTTCTCAGTTTGAAGTTTTGCTTTTCTACTTGCCTCTTATGAACTACTGTTTCTCTCTATTGCAGGATCTTAATAAGCCATGTTGGATAATTTTACTTTAAACACTTGATACTCTCACCACACATGCATACAAATATTCAATTACAAAATTTACTACTTTGTAATCATAGTAGTATTAGATGTCTTATATGAGCAATGCCTATCAGTAAAGGCTTTGCAACCAAACTAGTAACAGCACTATCACAAAGATGAGTTTAAATCATGTCAAAGGCTTTTTTATTTTCATTCCACATTGTTTATTGAATGATCATAATGATTTGAGAGTTGCAATAAAACACACAGAGAAATGAGATGAAAGAAAAACTAATTATAAATTAATGATAACGACTAAATTAATAATTTAGTCCCTTCCTTCTATGCAAACAATATCTAATGACATATGATTTATAAACATATCAAGCACAGCAAGTAATATTCAAAGAAAAATATTGTGTAGCTTCAACTCCATGGACAAGAAGCAGAGAGCTTTTTAGCCATTTTTGCAAATATATTTTATATCCTAACAAATAACCACAATGAATGCATAAAAGACTGGACTTACAAGAATGCAAATGTGTGCAAAAACCTAAGAATTTTCTAGATGTCTGGTTGTTATACTATTTTTTTTAATGATAATAAAAGGAATGGTCATGTGGTAGTGCTCAACCCCTCTTCAACTTACTCAAGTTTTTTTTTAATTATTTCACTCCAAGTAAGGCAATAAAGCCACTAGGATGCAAGCAGTTACTGAGTGTTAGAGAATATGAGAAAAACTACTATTAAGGAGAGAGGACAATAAAAAAAACAAGAAGACAGAAGATAATGATTGACATTGCATTTAAATTTTTGAAGATCAAAGTTGACTGGGCAGCAAGAAGCTGGAAAAGAGTTCCACAAGTGAGAAATACAATAGATGAAACTGTAAGCATAGAACTTATAGCTACATCTAGCCATTTTAACTGTAAAATGATGAGACCTTGCCACCAGTCTCAAAGTTTAGCATATGTGCAGATTCCTTTAGTTTTTGAATTTTTCCAATGAGATTTCAACTTCATCCCACAGGGAGTGATGATCTCCCTTTTCTCTCCATATATGGTCAGCCATGCCTAATTTTTCTATTTCCCCTTGTGTTATGACTTTATGGTGTTCCTGCAGTCATATCTTAAGAGGGTGGCCTGTTTATCCTTTATATTTCTTGCCACAGCTGCAAGAGATGGTGTGCACATAGTTCTTAATCAGCCTCTCTAGTTTTCTGATGTTGTGAGTTCAATACCTGGCCAGAGCAGAGAGAACAAAAACTTGGAGTGTTGATTTATCTAGGGGAATTAACTAAAACTGAAATATCCAAAGGAATGGCATGTGGATTTAGAATACTCAACCACCATGGACTAAATAAAGGGTTCAGTTGAAAATTCCAAAAAGTATTACCTGAAGAAGGCTGGAGTGTACGACCCAAACATTGTGAATATGGCAATAAAGATGAGAACAATAGTTCAAACAATGTAAATAGTGTAAATAATTACAATACCTCATTTCAGAAATATAGATATTAAAGAGGATTAAATTCATGCCTACTCTCCAAATATTAACATGTTAACAGCAACCATGATTTGAGGTTACTTTGTCAGTTTTAGTTTAGGAGTCACAGCAAACTGTACACAGTTGTCATCTTCTTCAATGAAAATATAAACAAACAGTAACTGCAAAAAAGAGACTTATAATACATACCGGATGACCTTTCCTTTGAGCAATGACATCTTCAACCATTTGCCGAAGTTGGTATTCAGAATCTTTGCTTTTTGAATGCAACAGCTTCAATGCCCTTGTGAACAATGGATCAAGCTCGAGTGTAGCCATTTTGAAGGAGTCTGGCAATAAAAAATATTCTTGAGTCTATATTTTAAATGTAAAACAAAATGTAGTTTTACATGTAAAAAAAAAACTAAAGACAACTTTGGTCTTTTAAATTCAGTAAAAGACATGAATCAATTTTCAAATATTGACCAGGGACAAGACAGTACCAAAATCCAGTACCAAAAGGACATTGTGAATACCAAAGTACTTTAAAAGAAATTTCATGATACATCTGCTCAGCCTGGAAAGTTGATATTTTTGTCCACCTGTACTAAAATATTTTGGGGCCATTTTAATAAAACACCACCTGTGTTTTTAATTGGTTGTATTCTCATGTCCAATATACCTGTGTTATGAGAATTGATCATTCAGCTGGCATACTTTGAACAACCCTTTAAGCAAATAAGCTCATACCCAGTGAAGAGGAGGAGCAAGTAAGGTACTGAACCCAAAGCTGATCAGTGGTGTCAGTTTGGTTCTGAAATTTAATAAGTACCTAGGTACTAGAATGATTGTACCAAATAGTATTTCCCTTATTTAAAAAAACAAAGTACTTGTGTACCAATTTCCTTGTATCCACTTCAATTTTTATTATTTTGATCGAGTTCTTGGATCAGGGAAGTCATTTCAAAACTTTTAATTTAATTGTTTACATGGAATTTATTTCCTTTGATTGACAAGCAACAAAAATTAAAAACAGAAAATTTTGATATTTTAATACATATATACCAAAATACTTTCAAAATTGTAATGGATGCTACTATAATACTAAACTTTATAACATCTTGGATTTTGAAACTGGGTATCTTTGATCATACAACTGTTTAAAGGGTACCTCAATGTGGAGCAATGGTCATTGAGTACTAATCATACTACTACTACTAGTAGTAGTAAGGTAATTATGATGATTAATCTTATTTTAAATGCATCACATTGAAAAACATAAAAAGCTTTTATCAACTTTAAAATACTAAAAAAATATTGTTCTTGTTTTGTGTATTTTTTTTAAGTTTCATAAGAGCACCAAAAAAAATTAATTAGGGTCTGAATCATGAGCCCAGTGACAGCCCTAAGGTTTCTGGCACACCAGGCAAGCTGAACTTCACCACCCATAAAAGTATAATTATTTTTAACTTTTGCAAGGAGAAAAACTAAAAATGTAGAATGAGTTTATTACAATATACAACTTAATACAATCTGAAGAAAACATCCATTATCCTACCTAAAACATTTTTTCTAGCCTTTTTAGATCTGCAAATCTTTTCATGGCACATTTTATATTATCTTCTTTACAAGATCTCTTTTTATTGACAAAATAGTGAAAGAATTTAATCTGTCTTGAGACATGAGGGACCACAGGTATGTTTTTTAAGCTTTAGTTTTGGAAGATCCCAAACACATGACATGGAAGCCTGATGGCACCCTCAGCCTTGATGGCACCCCAGGCAACTGTCTGAGTTGCCAGTACCTTGAGCCAGCCCTGCATGAGCCAAATGGTATATAATTCTGTTTACTTGTTGGAACAGTTTCAATCAAATGACAAACAAAAACCATGCAAGTTCAAATCCTGAAGAGAAGATGAATAACTTTTTACTGTTAATTTATTTTTGTTTTTTCAATAGTAGGTCATTAAAAAGATTTTTTTTAAATAAAATCTATGATGGCTAAAAGCTTGAAATCAAATTTCCCATAATATGCTATGACAAGAAACCACAAAACCTATGACGTGCTGTACATCATTATGACAGTAGATGATTCGGTTTACTATGTAAATAATACTAAACTGGACTCGACCTTTTTGCATAGAAATAAAATTTAACTGCTAATGAAGTAGCCTCCCTTTATATTTGTTTATAATTTTGGCAACACTTTCTAAGTGAATTAAATGAAATGGTAAATAAAATGGGTAAATATCACCATAAATTTTCTCGTGTCAGTTACAGTTGATTGCGGTTCCGACACAATCCTTAAAATCACAGAATACAAAAGAAAAAAAATACTAGAGAGTAACAAAGGCAGGTGGCTGGGAAAAATGATGAGACACAAACAATATTGTGTCGCGTCAAATTTTGGTGACAAACGTGAAATTTAGTGTACAGACAACTTCCTTAATCAACAAAAATAAAAATGTGAGAGAATATAAATTTGTAAAGTTTAAAAAAAAAACAAAAAAAACTCTGGGAACTTTACTATGGGAAATAGTGAACGATCTACTTTTGAAAAACGTTACTACTGCAAGTTAAGTTCAAACCTCACACTTGTGGCCTTTCAGAACATTGATAAATGACTAAAAAGACAGCAATCAATTTAAACATTATTTTTGTCTACTCATAGTGCTTACCGTCTGAATTTCAATATATTTTCTTAATTAAAATTATTTAATTACATTTTATGATTTTATCCATTCAACTGAGGTTATTGTCAGGTGTAACGAGAAAACAAAAAAAAAACAGTTTGTATCAATTAGAAAATGAATCATGCAGACAGTACCTAAATGAAAACATATTTAATGAATTCAAAATGTAGTTATTATCTGACAAGACCAAAATCACCCACCTTGATTTTAAGTAGAATTTAAGAGTAGAAAAAAAATAAATCAACTATATCGGAAAATAGTCAACGCCATTTTTATTGAAAACAAAACTTTGTTATTGTCGTACAAATTATGTAGAAACTATTTAAATAAAATAAAACGTATAATCCAGATTATTTTCCATAACTCATCTTAATTGTTTCAGAAACCATTTTATTTCTAAGAAACAGCAAGAATATTTTTTTAAATTTATGTGTCGTAAAAATCAGAAAACCATGTGGAAGGGCGGAAGTAAGAACTTGTACTTCCTGAATTAAATGTGTTTTTTTTTCTTTTTTTTCTTCTTTCTTTTTTTTTTTTTATTTTTGTACTGGAGAATTCCTTTGAGTGCCGAAATTTACGGACGATTCTCTGACTGTGATTCTCTTTTAACTTGCAAAGATGTTCGGTGTGGTAGTAGCTGGACGATTAGTAAGTTTTACGTTTACTCTTGTCTTATTCTTAATCCTAAAACCTCACCAAAATGAATTATTTAAAAAGAAAATATTCTCGTATGAAAATGATAATTTTTTTAGCCCTTTTTACCAATTTATGCAACTTCAGAAGAGAAATACAGTTAAAAGAAATACTTATTTCGTTTTACAACGGAATTTTTTTAATTAACTTTTAAAACTGAATTGGCCTTGAAACAATTATCTTCTTTTTTTTTTTTTAACAGAAAGCTTGCAATTTAGAAAAGGAGTACTAACTTACCAATTTAGTTTTAAAAAAAGATCAATTTTTAATTTTTTTTAAAGTAAACAATGTTAGGAAATTATTGATATATTTATTTCATTTTCGAATCTCAAGTTAAAATCCTAATTTTTCAAGGATTTTTTACACATGATGTTGCCCCCAAAGAACCTGTTTGTAATTATTTTTCCATAGAAATTTTTTTGTCATTTGACAATATGCTGTTGGCTCGTCCGGACGAATTCTCTCATATTTTTGTCGACAATATTTCGGCCGATGTGTCCTCTGACCTTCCTTAGATGTTTTTTTTTAGAACCATGAATCTATTTGATCTGAAGGAGGAAGCTTGGATTCTCGACGTGCATTACAAGTGTTTTCTACTTAAAAAAAGAAAACAAAACAAAAATAGTAACGCGAGTAAAATTTAAAAAAACTAAATCATTAAATTTAGTCGTTTTTTGTTTTTTTTTTACAAGATGAATAATTTATAATTAATCCTCTTACATTCCAAATTCCTTGGTTAAGGAAAAGATATCACAAGTGTAACAGTCGTTAAAGTTGTAAAAACAGACAAAAAAATATTTTTTAAAAATCACTTAAAAATTTACAGTCAATGTCTTCACTTATTTTTAGGCCTCCAATTTTCTTCAAGTATTTGTCGATCTGAGTAACTTTCTCGAAATTTCGAGTCATATCTATTTCATCTATGTGATTAAATAAGCAAACAGCAAACTCGAACAGCGGAACGAAAATAATCCACTAAATAAAGAGTTTAGTTCGAAATTTTCTGAAGGTTACCCGTATCGACAAACACCTGAAGAAGGCTAGGAGCATGACAGCCGAAACGTTGTGATAACGTTACAACAACAAAGCAAAGAGGAGGACATTAATCGGACTGTAAATAAAAAAATGATAAATCTTCATTCGAGAAACTCAGATGAAAATACCTTGTAAGCAGGTTACAATTTTCTTCTCCACTGATGTTTATTATTTTAATTTTAAGCTTTAAGGTCATATTGGGCCTTCAACAAGGATCGAACTTACTTGTTACTATCTGTCTTAAATTTCTGGGACGATGAATAATTAACAATAACATTATTTACATTTGATATTATTGTGTAGTAATGATCTGAAAGTGTAAACAAAACTGCTAACCATTCATATGATAAAGAACATGATCTTTCATTGCTGATAAAAGATTTGATATGCAGTTTTTAATTAAAAAAAATTATCGGCGTGAAAAAAGAAATCTTATTTTTAAAACTTTTTAACCAATGCAAATAAAATAAATAGTTATACTTAGGATGTTTTTTCAATATTAGGAGAAGAAATTAAAATAAATTTTTACTTCTATTGACTTTTAAAATAATTGCGGGAAAATATAATTGATAATTAATTGTATTAAAATATTTACTAGACTACATTTTTCAATAATTTTATTTTTCCAAAATCGGTTTTCTCGATAAGTTTTTCATTTGTGACAAATTGGATCAAGTGATTAGAAATGATTACGAGAGATTTAGAACTTGAAAAGTGTCTCGTTCAAGGATACTTTTTTTAAAAAAATACAAAAACAACATTAACAATCAACAAACCCCTTTTTAACGCACTTTGTAATTTGATAAAAACTAAAAATATTTTTTTTTTCTCGTACCCTTAACTTCTACCTAATCTAACAGTTTCCATGTTTTTGAAGTCCCCATGACAGGTCCATGTTCATTGTTTTTATTAGTTTTATATTGTTTGTTCACTGTTTCGTTATTCGCTAGTATAGTAACCGTAAAAAATGACAATTATGGAACGATACTTTGTTGCAGCTATGTAAAAATCACTCTCTCACAAAAACTCACACAAGGAGTCTTACTTCTTAAAGATATTTTTATTTTTTTGCAATGTTCAAATTTTCCGCATGATATTTTTTCCTAAGTTGATCAAATGTTAGAACAATATTTTCTGGCTATTGTAGAGATTTTGTAAACCTGGGATTCAACATTAAAAGAATGCTTTTTTTGTTGCTATTGTAACATTGTTTAAATTGATTGTTTGTAGTTGAATAACAGGTTTCATTTACAGAGGAAGAGCCATAGACTTTGTATAATTTTTTCTGTAATGGTTTTTTACACACTACAGTACAGAGATCATTATTTCGAATGCCACATAGTGCTTCCTTTTGATTTTTGTTGACTTTCCAGAAATTGACCCTTGAAAAAGTTGGGAGTGGGGAGAAAAGCAATAAACTGAGAAATAATATGGGAGAAATAAGTTAAAAAGTACAGTAATGATAGATTTTTTTTTTGTTGTTGTTGTTGTTTTTAGATATACCCAATATTTATTTTGAATTACAATCTGTCAAACATGGTATTCTTTTAGTTTTAGTTTCATTCTTCCATTTTATATCTCATTTCTCATTATTCCTGCATCCAGATAGATAAAAATGGTGTGTTTTCATGTGTTCCAGGTACAAACAGATTATGAACAAGTAACTCAGAATCAATTTTTGTTTAATATTGTGGATGCAGACAGCATCAACCATGTTGTTGTGTTCCTAACTGGACAAACGCCGTTTCCTGATGGTTATGGTGGAGCTGGTGAGTTGCATTGTAAAATGAACCAACCACTCTTTGTTTAGATTTAATGCCTATCACATGATGATGACAAGGTGTTAATAATATAGCTGTATATTTTTATATCATAAATTGAAGGTAAAAAAATAATAATTGGAACTTTAGAAGTTAGCTTATCAACTTTGATTTTTTTTATTAGAAGATAAAGATTCATACTTTTATAAGATGAATGATTTGCAAACAGTTGAAGATATATGAATATAAAAGTGATTGTTTACAAAAAGCATCTTAAAAAATGAGAATCTGTATATAAGATAAGCTAATCTGATTTTTTAAAGAAATATCAACAATAATAGGATTTTTGTTAATTTTTCAGATATTGTCATGTTTAGAAAAAGGCATCCATTAAAATTTAATTTACTACAGGGCCACAGTAATGAAATACTGAGTGAAAATTGACTTATCTACAACATTGACCCTCAATAGATATTTGTCTAAGTTTTATTTGGTATAGAACCACAAGAACTGGTTTGGTCTGAGATGACTGAAAGTAACAATATACGATTATACTCATTAAAGAAGTTGGATGTTTGAAGATTGACCCTTAATTGAACATGTCAGTTCAAAGTACACTTGGGATGACATTCTTATCTATCTTTGACCCATCTCAACTAAAATGTGTTTGAGATGCTGTGAGTTATGACTTCTGCTAATCAAATTGGCAGTAGAGAGGAGTTCAAGCTCATAAGAGGAACCATTTTTACTTGCTTGTCAGTCTGGCAAAAAAACTACAAAGAGAAGCTCAATTTGACATTCTTTTTTCCCATTACCAAAATCTAGTAGCAACTGTTCCATTTTGTTGTTGAAGCAAAATGCATAAATCAAATTGATTGCTTCAATTTTTTTTTTTTTTTTTAATAACATTAGGGTCACTTTTTCTGCATCAAAATCACAACAGTCAGCCAAGAAGCTACATCTAAAACCTAATCATATGCTTATCCAAAGTGCAATGTGAAATGAACAGCTTGTAAGATTAATTTACAAACCATTTCTGAGTTATATGATCAGACAATTTACAAGAAAAGCAACTGCATTTCATTTAGGTTGATCAGAGTGAGAAAAAAGGTATTTTCATATGAGACAAGGCGATAAAGAAAAATCATTGCAGATTTGACAAATTTAGACCAAGAATGTCATTATCATATCTTCATCACATGGTCTATAATGAGAGAACAGCCAGAAGAAAGCTACATCTTAAACTTGTTAACATCCAACAAAAAAAGCAGAGAAGTGGGCTGAACCTTGGAATTTTGGCACATTGTCGTCTCATTTGCTGAACTTCTTGAATCGTTTTGATCTTGAAATTGCTAAACCAAGAATTTTTTGTTTCAGTAATCAAACATGGAAAATTTTCTGTTATGGAGTGGGGTAACAGTTTAGAATATTGATCTTTCAAAACTTCTGGGATGCATGGGGAATATTAATTCATAAAAATAAATATTCATTCCAGAGGAACGATTTCCTAATATTGAATGATTGACTTAAATTTTTTTTTTTTTTTTTTTAAATGTACAGGATATATTTTAAAATCTTCATATAATAAATGCAGTGCTGGCAAATATATCTTAATATGGAATAAATAAAATGTTTTTAAATGATTAATTGAAAGATAAAATGATATTAAGAGTTAATTTCTTTTTTTAAAAATAATTAGCAATTTTTAACTGATTATGATATTTCCCAGTATCAAGGATGCTCTGGCCTCAAGTATACACTCTAATTTACCTGGTAAAATAAAAAAGTAACCTTCAGATTGTAGGGTACGGTATTCTTTATTCTCTGATTAATTTGTGGTGAAAATAGCATCTTTCATTGATAATATCTTCTGAACAATATCTATTCAAGCATTTGTATATTATTGGCAGGTTACAAATTTATCATAAAACAAGTTTTATTCTTGATCAGAATGCAGCAATCATTAATGTTTTCTTTTTCTTTTTTTTTTTTCTTTTTTATCCAGTATATTTTGCCTGGCCCAGTGCCCAAGGACAAAACTGGATCCTTCTTGGCCATATTACCAACATTAAACCCAGTGCCATTTTCAAAGTGTCAAAACTCAAATCGAGTGAGTATTATTTGTTAAATATTACCTACATACATAAAAATCTAATATGTATCTAATATATATATATATATATATATATATATATATATATATATATATATATATATAAACATATATTGTTAAATATAACAGACAATGAATGTCTATTATGTTTGATCATGAGCCATTCTAAACTCTCTGTATATTTGCATTAAGTTTTGCTGTTATTATGACAATGTTTCTAGCATTGTGTCATCAGGTGTATGTTGATCTGGGTAACTTTTAGGGAATTTAAACTGAACCCTTTATTTAATTTACAGGGATAGATTGTTCTCATTCCACTGTCCATATCCATAGATATCTCATCCACTTCTTATTTAGTACTGCTCAGTTAGTACATGCTTTGTTTCCACTGAGTCTAAGTACAATACCTGGTCCAAGGATTGATCTTGCAATTTGCAAACCAATGCTTTAATCCACTAGGCTAAAATCCAATTTGGGACAATTTTGAGTATTGTTTTAAAAAATTATTTTTAGAATCTTAATAAAAACCTAAATATATCAAACTGAATTTATACATTTTTCTTCCCAAATTAACAACAAATATGTTAAATTGTTAGATTGTTTCTTAAAAAAATAATTTTTATATTTATAAGATTATATATGAACAAACTACAATGCAATATTATAAAAATGTCTGTGAATAAGTGTATGTTGATCTAGGTAACCTATGAAGATATTCTGTTCTCATTCCACTGCTCATATCTAGGGATATCATCTAAATAATCCTGTAATTTTTTGTTTTAAGTCACTCAGCCAATGCATAAATAATACATTTAATTTTTTTTATTTTTTTACACAGTAGATGAGCTTACTAACAATTGCTCTTTGGCAAAGTGCCTAATATAATTATTTACTAAACTTAGCTTGGCAAATTTGTCTGCAGGATGAGCTTGCTAACCATTGTGCTATGGTAAGCACTCAGATTGGAATTACTAATCATGAAAACAATTCCCAACCAAAAAAAAATATTGCAAAACAATTCATTGCCTTTGCTCTATAAGAATTCTCAAGCTGTGTGCAACCAAAGTTCTCCAAACTCACTATTTTTTTGTCTTTCTTTTCTATTTAGGTGACTCATCAATGAACCCATTTCAAGCAATGACCAATCAACCTGTACACGTTGCTCAAATTGGGATCTCAGTGGATCCACTTACAGAGTTATCACAACAAACACCAGCAACTTCAGCAGCTGTTTCAAATCTAGAACCATTTGTGGATTTTTCCAAGAAAATGGTAGAGAATTTATTTAACTTTGTAACCTCATTCTCCAGTCCACTACCACCTGTTCCCACAGAGACCTATATTCCTTCAAGTGTCTTGCAGAAATGGTATGATAGCTTTATACGCAAAATGCAACAGGATCCCTATTTCTGGAGATCATAATAAAAAGAAAAAAAAGAAAATAGTCAGGCTACAAATATGTTTTATTTTTTAAAGGTCATTTTTCATCTGGTCTCTTTGAACAAAGAAGAATTTCAACTTTCACTGCTCAGAGACTATTCACAGCTCAGGTTTAAAATTTAACTGAAATCGTGACTGTTTCTTATTCAAACAATGCCCAAATTTCTCTTTTTCACAACATTGAGTAAGTAATGTCATATATACATACATACATATATATATATATATATATATATATATATATATATATATATATATATATATATCTTTTCAATCTATTCATTACTGCTAAATTTTCTTTCTTTTAAATAAGTTCCACTTTGATTAAAAAAAAATATATACGTTTGTTCAATTAAACTTGGTTGTGGAGTTTTAGTGTGAAATGTCTTCATACAATTGAAATGTTTTTAATACTAATACAAAACTGTACTGTATTTTTCTGTTTAAATGTAATGTTATAGGCTTTGTCAAATTTTAAGTTCTACCTAATTGCATCAAGGAAGGTGGATTCATAATCAACAAAGTTCTGATTTCAAACTGTATAGATAGAATAAAATAACAAATTTCACTTGTGAAAATTTTATGTACATAATGTATTTATGTAAATAAAGTTAAACTCTGCAATCACTCCTAACTATTTTTTTAGAGTTAAATTTAAGTGCTCAATGGTAACATGAATTCTACTTTTGAAGAGTCTGAAAATTAGCCCTAAATCAAAATTAGTATAGCATTAGTAAAAGCCCTTATTAGTAATATCTAATGTTGAAAAATATTGGGCTATATCAATTAATTTACTAGTTTGACTCAAGTGCAGCATAATATTGTATATTAACTTTGATGTCAAACTGAACTTTTGAAGAAACTAGAGAAACCTCACTACTTTTCCCAGCAATTTTAAATGTGATTGTGTGTGCACGCTCGCTTCTAAATTAAAATAAAAACAAACCTGTATTTGTTGAACTCTAAACCTATTCAGTGTTTAGAAAGACTTTTATTTTTAATGAATTATATACCAATGAAATCAAATAGTTAAAAAACAACAGCATCAAAATTTATAGCTTGTATATCATTTTTAAATGTGAACATATTTTCAGGGAATAAATATCCGATGAAAAAATAAATTTGTTAATTTTGTTGATGTTTTGATGCTTAACCATCATTTCATCCTTGGAACGTCAACAACCCTGGAAATGATTTTAATGAATGTTGAAATATTAACAAAATTGACTCCCAAAAAAGTTTTAAAAAATAAATAAAAAAAACCTTGATTACCTACAAATTTGTACTACTCTTCTTTCCCTTTGAAAAGTTCTCATGGACAAAGAAAAGCTAACTCTTCTGATGTTTAAGAAAATATATCTTGTATTTTGATTCTCTTGGCCAACATAAAGACTGATTTTTATTTTCTTCAGAGTTGTTGTTTATTGCATTCATTATAGTTGCTATGATCAGGAGCTTGCTTGGTGGCTGAAAGAGTTGAATATTTTCCACTGGTGCCTATGGTTAGTATTAAAACCCAAATAAAACCAGGCAGACACTCTTCTCATTTGAAATACTGCTTCAATTTTGTGCCAGACAAAACTAAACTGTATAAATATTTAAGCTAATAACTTTGTTAATGCTTAACCTTTTGAACTCTGACCCCCAGATGAGTATGGATCATCCACCCTGGGCCTCTGCTGTCCAGGACTGTTGGCAATATACCGGATACCGAAGTATATGCACTTTCACACAGTGGTCACTATACCAAACATTCTGGTTCAAAAGGTTAAGAATATACACCTTGTCTTTTATGTATGTTTGCTAAATATTAGTTATCCCCAACCCTTATTGTTCCAATTAGTTGGGGGCCATGAATATGCCAATTGCATTCTAATGCAGAGAGGTAAGCCCCCCCACCCCCCAAACAGGGATTACTTATTTACTGTGCCTATGCCTATTTTTTTGACTCCTGCAAATCGAGTCTATATCTACCTTATTGTTTATCAAAATGACAAAATACAACATTAAATATCCTGGAAAAAGATGATATGCTGTAAAACAAAATAAGCCACTCTTATTGTTGGTGCTGGTTATAGTTTTCTTTTTCTTTAAGTTATATGTGTGTGTACATACATACATATATATATATATATATATATATATATATATATATATATATATATATATATAAAATATTCAACACTTATGAAATTGGTCCCATAATAAACTTATGATGTTCAACACCTAAACTGTTCAATTTCATTGAGCTAGACTTAGTAGTTTTCAAGATAATTGCTTTTAAAATGTCATTTTCTAGCTCAATGAAATTGAACAGTTTAGGTGTTGAACATCATAAGTTTATTATGGGACCAATTTCATAAGTGTTGAATATATGCACTGCCTGTGACACAGCACCTGTCAAGTCAGTAGTTAAGCTCTTGCCAAACACACTGTTGCATGTCTCCAGTAACATTATCCAGTGCAGAAGTGATTCTCTGCTTGAGCTTATCAATGCTAAAAGGAAGAATGGAGGACATAAACCAGTCCCTTCACATATCCCCATAAAAAGAAATCATACAGGGACAGGTGCGATGACCGAAGCAGCCCTTTCATCAGAAAACTGTTTTCATCTCCACCACGCCCGATCTGGCAGATTCTCATTGAGATAAGCACATATTGTCCTCTTCCATTAAATATAAAACCTTGATCTGTTTCTATACGTTCTGTGAAAATTTGAGGTTATTTCAACAAGAATTGCCAAAATTATTGGCCTGTGAAATGTCAAATTTTTTGAAACTCCTTGTGTATGTATGTATGTATGTATGTATGTGTGTGTGTATATATATATATATATTGCTAATATCACCTGACAAGTGGGCAGAGTGGTTGCTGGAGGGTCTGTCAAGATGCTGAAGGTAACACAACTCAGCTAAGTGACAAATTTTATATTTGGATTAATTCTGTTAATGCTCTAGCTCTGATATCAAGCACTTTATTGCAAGGACTGCTTGCCTTAAATGTCTTTTCTCTCAGTATCCCACTGACTGACACTGTTTTTGGCTTCACACTATCTTTTATATATATATATATATATATAGATATATATATATATATATATATATATATATAAATTATAACAAGTATGTTATAATATCACTACAAAAATAACCATTTTGTTTCAACACTTCTGGTGTCTTGTCAAGTGACAGTGTTGCAAGTCTGACTTGCAATATCATCAATATATACTTAAGGTATAATTTTTAAATAAAATATATATATATATATATATACTTAAGGTATAATTTTTAAATAAATATTATTCGCTCTACTCTGTATTGAGCATTTTTTTAAAATAGTGTTCTTGGTTACTGAAAGTTTATTCAATCTATACCAACCTTGTATTTGTACGTATATATATATATATATATATATAGGTAACTACAGTCGTCTCTATGAACATGAACGTCTGTTGAAAATAATCGTACAGCATACAGGTCCAAAGCCCCCCCAAAAAAAACCCAGATATGAGTAATCAACTAACTTAAAAGTGCTCAATACAAAAGTAGAGCAGACCTAGTCAAACCTAGAGAGCCAGACAAACCTACCAAGGTTTCACCTAAGTTGATCATCAAGGAAAGCTGGCCAGCTTGATATTAAGGTAAAAAAAATCAGAAACACATTCTTATATGATCAAAATTAGTCTGTTCACCCACAATCTAATTTAAATCAGGCATGATGATATGACATTGACAACAGAAGTGTTGTGTATTGATGCCTTTCCCCCCAGAACATTTGTGCTAACTGAACATAATCAACCTTAGCTATAATTTGAATTGTTTGTTTCTTATGTTGGGAAGTATTAGACATCTTTTATAAACATAACTTTTCTTAATATAAAAACTTGTGGGTCACAGTATTGAAATAAGTAAACAATTTTCTTCCCAGTGAAACAGATCTTTAGTTTTACTGTATAACAAAGTAAACATTTGAAGTTACTCTTTTATGTACTTGCAAAAGACAAACATTTTGATTAGAAATTGTCATTATTTTACATTGATTTATTTTAATCACTGTTCTCATCTTGGTTGTTAGAGATGGCTCTGGCCTTTTTTACCTGACTATTGTTCTTATTTGGGTGTTAGTGTTGCAGGAAATCTTGTATCCACTGGACCAAGGTATAAATTACACTACTTGATCTGAGAATTGAATTCACAACCAACAGTCATACTTTCAAAAGCCATCAATCTTTTAGACCTAATGTTAAATGGTTTGACATTCATTAGCAATTAGAGGTCATACTGCCCCCACCATCTGCCTTTTTTGTTTTTGTTATATTTCTAACGATATGATTTCTCACCTATCTTTAGAAGATAAAGAGATAAATCCCTTCTTTTTAAGTCCACTTAGTTATCTGAGTTTCATAGGAATTTTTTCTCCAGTCCATCTAGGGGTTAGTGTTTCATGTCTACAGCTGCCTTTGAATTGGGAAACATAAAATTTTTATCAATGACTTTAGATAGTTATAAAAGTAGTCTTTTGAAGAAAAAAAATGTGGCTTTGGGGTGGTCCCAAATCTTCTGGAAGACAAATAGATTGAAGGGGTAGGACACCCCCTCCCCTCGAATTATCCATATAAGCAGAGAGAGGTAGGAAGTCAGGGGGAAAGTGGGTCCAGCCAGGAGAGAAGTAGGTAGGTAACAAGAGGAATTTGAACTGGCCAGTGACAGAAGGACTGGTAGTGATAAATCAGGAGTCGGCAATGTCATTGAAGTTAGGAAGATAGCAGCCCACCCCTTGAAGCTGAAGGAAGGATCCCACGTTTAAGTGAGAAATCGTATTGTTGCTACTTCACCACCAGAGAGTCTTGAAATACAATTGTCTTCATTTTTTTTTTTTTTTTTGTTGAAAGCGATCATAGCCAAGAAGACAAACCTGTGCACATAGTGAGTTGGGTGTATATACAAATAAAGTCAACCTTGGATGTCATCACAGTTGCAGTG